CATGGTTTGTATCGCGCTTGACCAAGCCTGAAACTACAAGTAAGCTTCAAGTGAAATTGATACATTACCTTGTGCATCTCCACCAGTTAAAGATACCACCCCTGGATGGAGGAAGAGTACTTCCAGAGAAGATGCCACATCTACCTATGAGACAGATAAGGCAAGTCAAGACGACACCACACTCCGATACTTAGAAGTTTCGTGATTACGAGATCATTCTCCCACAATATTTCCTAATGTCATTTGTACTAAATCATTCACTTGTACTCACTAAAGGAGAGCTTGAACCTATGTACTTGTGTAAACCCTTCACAATTAATGAGAACTCTTCTATTCCGTGGACGTAGCCAATCTGGGTGAACCACGTACATCTTGTGTTTGCTTTCCTATCTCTATCCATTTATATACTTATCCACGCTAATGACCGGAGCAATCTAGCGAAGATCACAAAAAGCGACCGTTTTCGCTACCTAGGATCTATCTTGCAAGAGAACGGAGAATTAGATGGAGATCTCAACCATAGAATACGAGCTGGATGGATGAAGTGTAAGAATGCATCCGGCGTGTTGTGTGACCGTCGTAGGCCACTGAAGCTCAAGGGAAAATTTTATAGGACGGCAATAAGGCCAGCGATGTTGTATGGCACAGAATGTTGGGCGGTGAAGCATCAACACGTACACAAAATGGGTGTAGCGGAGATGAGGATGCTTCGTGGGATGTGTGGGCACACGAGAAAGGATAAGATTGGGAATGAGGATATCCGAGGTAAAGTAGGAGTAGCCGAAATTGTAGGAAAGATGAGAGAAAATCGGCTCCGGTGATTTGGACATGTGCAAAGAAGGCCGAATGATGCTCCGGTTCGAAGATGTGACTACGGGACAGAGGTTCAGGGCCGAAGGGGTAGAGGAAGACCTAGGAAAACTTTGGAAGAGACTCTAAGAAAAGACTTAGAGTACTGGGATCTAACGGAGGACATGACACAAAACCGAGCGCAATGGCGTTCTAGGATTCATATAGCCGACCCCACTTAGTGGGAAAAGGCTTTGTTGTTGTTGTTGTTTGTTGTTGGTTAACTGTGCACTTAGATATTATAATCATTAGAACAACCAATTTCCCTTCTAAAAACAATAAAAAATTATCGCCAATTTGTTCTAATCTTCGAAGTTTACCAACAAAAAAATCAAATTTTGGAGTTAAATTGGGGATCAAGGCATGAATGTTAATGACATGTTGACCGTCTAAATTCCATTACAAGCAAGTAAACATAAGTAAACGTTTGGGTTATATAACTGCTCGAGTTGTTCTATGCTTAAGAAACGAAGGAATAATATTTCAAAACAAGTTTGTCATTTCGAGGAGTTAAGATTTGAAGGTATTATCTTCATCGATCTTGACCATGTCAAAGTTGATGTAATGTCCTCTTGTAGCTAGAATCGAGTTTTTTTTTTTTTTTTTTTTTTTTTAAGGGATCAGCTAATGACTTCATCATGATAATTCATCTTTTTGAGGATGTGAAAGATTCACAGAGACATTTTAGCCTCATCTTAGCTACTATCGTGTGATTCACTAGCAGTAGAAATCAAACCCAAAATATGCCTTGTAGACGACGAGCTTAGATATCGTCCCCAATCACTGAGTCATCCCATAATGGTTGCAGCTAGAATCGAGTTCGGGTGATCAAATTGATATTGGATAATGGATAAGTGGACCCTTAATTAAAGTTGTTATATTAGGCCAACAAGACAACAACTAATTAATAGGTTTTTTTTTTTAACAAATCATAATCTTACTACCAGTCAACATATTATTAAGTAATGGAAATTATTATTACGATTCATAAACTAAATTTGTTAAACGTTTTTATATAAATAAGATTCAGTGTAAGACTGAGTAATATAAATTAATGGAATTATTAACTATAGTTGTTCCTAAATATGTATCTTCAACACAAGCAACTTATAGTATATAAAATAAAAAATAAAGGGTGTGATATTCACACATCCCATTTTACTTCTCACACACTTTTTTAATTTTCGACCGTCGGATCGGATGAATTGAAGAAAATCAACGGACATAAATCATCAAGGGGTGTGTGAGAAGTAAAATAAGGTGTGTGGATAGGACACCCCAAAATAAATATAATATTATATGTAGGTGAATGAAACCAAGAAGCAATTGTTGACGTATGGTGTGCATTTCAATTTCCTGCAACTTCCTTGATGATGAACCGATGAGAGTTCCCTTTTGTCCATTCTTTCCACTACTCTTCCCTTTTGTCCAGTCTTAAATATAATTATAATAATCCACGATTTCAATTTCCTGCAACTTCCTTGAAGATGAACCGATGAAAGTTCCCTTTTGTCCATTATTTCCACCACTCTTCCCCTTTCTATTTTATTAATTGGGTTAATTAAAAGGAAAACTAATGAAAATAGCTTGAAAACTTTGAGTTTTAATGATAAGGACAAAATAAAGGGTAAAGTGAATAGTACCAGGATTGACTTTTTAGTGTAAAAATGTGATTTTTCGTTAAAGTGAACAATACCGGGTGTTTTTCGTTAAAGTTCTCTTAATTAAATGGTCTTAAATATAATTATAATAATCCACGATTTCAATTTCCATCTTCCTTGAAGATGAACTGATGAAAGTTCCCTTTTGTCCATTCCTTCCACCACTTTTACCCTTTCTATTTTATTAATTGGGTTAATTAAATGGTCTTAAATATAATTATAATAAGGGAAATTTTATTTGAATCCATATAACTTCCCTCTACACTCAACTTAAATTTTAAATGTGAATTATCTTTTTTATCCTATTGCATAATTACCATAAAATGCAAGGTGAAATTAATAATAAAACTAAAATTTATTAATAAATGTGATGTTGATTCTAAAGACAATTGAGGGTCTGGGGCTCATTCGAATTGAGGAATCAGGAATAAAGAACTTGGATTTAAGAATTTGGACAAGCATAAAACCATCCTCTCCTACTCCCTGCAACCTTAAAATCATCACTCTCTCTTCTACCAAAACAATGCCAATGAGGTTAAAACCGATGACAGATCTCAACGGCTAGAGAACTCGCTCTTGCCAGCCTTAACCTGCTTCTACCCACTTTCTAGAAGAATAAAAAATAACAATTAACATCTTCGTAAAGATGAGGGGGCTAGCTTAATAAACATTACAAACCAGACAATAATTGTTCTATATAATTTGTCTTTATATAATTATTATTACTAAAGTGTGTGTATTTATAAAATGATTTTGAGTTATGGAGTAGAGTTTAATTATTGTGGCAATGGGAGTGAGTGAAGCAGCAATGGGATGAACAATGGGATCCAATTCAGATAAAGCACACTTTGAATGAATTGTAGAACAGTGATTTAGAGTTGTTTTCTAAATGGGTCTAAAGATAAATTTACATATTAAATTGAGTTTGTGAGGGTAGTTTATGTATTAAATTTGAGTTTAAAGAGATATTGATAGTTTAGTTAATAATAATATGGGTGCAGAGAGTAAGTTGGGTGTAGAAAGAAGTTACATGGGTTCAAACAAAATTTCCCTTATAATAATCCACGATTTAGAGGTTGCACTTGGTGCGATGGCAAGTGCCTTCGTCCATGAGCGGTAGGTCTCGGGTTCGAGACTTGGGAGCAGCCTCTCCATAAATGGGGGTAAGGCTAGCCGACATTCACATCTCCCAGACCCTGCGTAAAGCGGGAGCCTTGTGCACTGGGTACGACCTTTTTTTTTTTTTTAATAATCCACGATTTCATGCAAAACATTGTTTGGTGTTATGTTTTGAAGGACTATGAGCAATTTCAATAGCGACCAAAACTGTTTGAAGGTCGTAAACAAAAAGCTTTAGCAACGTAAACCATTTCTATTTTCTTTGGTTCTTATAAATTTTATTTTCAAAATTTTGATAACCACATGCATAGTATATGTGCAATTGCTAGTTATAACAAAACAACGAGTATATCTATATTTGACCAAAAAAAAAAAACAAGTATTATCTATATACACAAATTGACACACCCCGATAACCAAGGGGACACCAAAATCGAGGCATGTTGGCTGACACTAGGAACGTGACGAGACCATAATATGCAATTGGTGTGTAAAAAGTACAAGTAAATTAAAACCAAATCTAGAACAAATTTAATACAGGAGTTAGAGTGCGAATTGCGGTAAGAACCCTTATTACAATGCATCAACATCGGAACATAGATAAAAGTGCAGCAGAAAAGAGGATATTCCCATCTTGGGTAGGATAAATATTGTACAACTAATAGGAAATAAATTTCCTACATGGTCAGAATCCGCCTACGAACTCTTGCTCACCACAAAATCCAACTACTAAGTCATAGAGGAGAGTAAAACAAAGAGTGTGAGTGAAATAAAAAATGAAATTACCAAAAAAACCTTTGTTTCTCACAATAGTAAGCCCTCATTGTAAAACGCATATAGTTTTATAAAACCATACAATAAATAAATATGAAAAACCAATACGAATAGTATAAAAGCAGTTCTATAAGGTACCGTTTGGTACGTGGGACGGGACAGGACGAAACGGGACGAGCCGTTCTGTTCTACGTTTGGTGCGCCTAAAAACTGTGGAACATGTTGTCCCATGGGACGAAATTTGGCTGATTTTTCGTTCCACCTCTTCCCCCTGGAACGATCCGTTCCACATCCGTGGAACACAAATTTATAACGATTTATGACAAAATTTCTCCTTATCTTTTTCAATATTTACATCATCCATTCCGCCCTGTTCCGTCCCGTCCCGTCCTGTTTCATCCCGTCCTGTCTTGTTCCGTCCCGTCTGCGTACCAAACGGTATCTAAAGATACGAGTGAACCACAAATATTAAAAGTGTACAAAATATGCTCATTAAAGTGCAAACACATAAGCCCATGCACAAAGTAACTACATAAATAAGTTGAAAGTAATAATTACTTTCAACACGTCACATATAAGGCCCAGATCCAAAAGCAACTAATAAAGCCTGCCACTTAGAAATAACAAATTCAATAAGAAACTCTCGAAGCATATAAAGTAACAGAGATGCTTCTTCGACTCTTTCCTTCCATTAGCCCACCTCTCTCACTCACCACCGGTTTCAGGTACTGTATAAGTTGATATTTGATTTTGTTTTCCGATGTGAGATTTTTGTATTGTCGAACATATAATTGTGGATTGAACAGTTTTTGATATTCTTATATAGATATATAAGGCCAAGGGCAAGCTACAGATTATACCGTGGAAGCAGAGAAATGGGTGAGCAGGAAAATTCAGAATCTGAAGTAATTCAAGTGAAGAATCGTGCCACATTTCGTCTGTGCAATGTGTCAAGGTTCTTACTTTTTGGCTACAAATTCTGTGATGTGTGATAGTTTTCGTGACGATTGTTTTGTGAATTGGGTTTTTTTTTTTTTTTTTTCTGTTTGATATTTTGTTCAGTTTCACCACTGAAGTACTGGAGATCCCTGCAGACAATCCAACATTGCATGTTCTTGTTATACCTGGAAATCCAGGTGGGTTTTTGGGTTTTTGTGTTTATCTGGCTGGGATTGATTCAATTGTGAGAACTTACTATTTGGATTTTCGGTATATTGTAGGTATTGTTTCATTTTACAAAGACTTTGTGGAGTCGCTGTATGAGTTGCTGGGTGGAGCTGCGTCTGTGACAGGCAAGAATTGGGTGTTTTTTGTATGTCATTTTCGGTTAACTATTTTAGAGGTTGTAAAGTTTATGCTAATTTGTTTTCAATCTTGTGTCTATCATCAGCTGTTGGGCATATATCTCATACCAAAAAGGTATATCATTTTTCTTATACAAGGTTCGGTCATACTTGTATTAATCCTTGCATCAATTTTCAGCCCTTTGTTGCTCATGATTATCAGTACTTGGTACTGTACTTTGGTTTCCTTTCCAACCAACTAATCGCCTTTAGAATCCGGCAAGTATTATGTTCAGGAATATGTTAAATTATGATAATGCTAAGGTCAACCCTGGGTTTCTAATGTGAAGAAACTGGAAACTAGGGTTCTGACAATTATTGTAAATTATTGAAGTATCCTAAGCTTCAAAATACCTGTAAATCAAGTTACTTTATCAGTTGGAGTGCATGAGGTGAACCAACTCAAGGGCTCTTTCATCTTTGTTTTTTGAAGGTAATTAATTTGGACAGATCACAGATGTGAAAGCCGAAAGCCACTAACAGGTCTTCTTACCTTTTTCTTGGAGAGAAAAGCTAAACCAAAATGAGTAGGAGTGTCTATGAATCAGTTATATTTTAGAGGGCACAATGATATATGTCTTCTGTAGTTAATAAAAGGGTGGTGGGCATCTTATGGTCCTCAGGTTCAAATGTTTCTGAATCTGAAAGATACAAACTTTCTTAAGATGGTTGCAAGAGTAAATTTCAACCAATTATGCATGCAAGTGCATACTTTGACCTTCCATTATATATATAGTAGTTCTTGCAAGTCTCATTTCACCCATTTGTTTAGTTGAAGAATTATTTAATGACTTACTATCATTTATTATGTAAGATATTTGATCTTGTTTGATGCTTTGCTTCGGTGGTCTGTGGCATGGTCATGATTGTTATATGATATTCTCTTCTTGTTAGAACTGGGAGCATGGAAGGCTGTTCTCATTACAAGAACAAATTGATCATAAGGTAAACTGTGCTTGCTTTATGGTTTTGTTTAAATGGTCGGGTGGACAAAAGAGACCAGAGATCTTTGATACATCTCCAAGTTGTTTGTGTGGTGGTTTAATGTCCCGTATAATGGAGTGAAGCATTTTGAATGTCATTTCTTCCGAAATCAATTGCCTTCGAGTTGATCTGCTTGTATTAAAAATATCAAACCGTGAAATCCAAATTACTGAATTGAGCATCTGAAATTATAAGTTTTCATGTCATTCCATGCGTTTGTTTTATTTTAAAAGCAGCAATCCAACTTTGGCTTGCAGATCTGACTTCTGTTTAGAACACTATTCGATTTCTCCTTTTCCAATACTTTTCCTATTGGCACTCATTCGCTAATTTGTCTATATTGGAACTTATTAATTATAACAGTGTCTCAGGCTTAATAGAATAGTATATTAGAGTCACATATAGTGCTTACTTGTAACTAAATTTGTGTGCAGATGGACTTCATCAAACAGGAATTGCAAAATAATGAAGTTCCTATATTACTGGTGCGATAATTTTCTCTCTCCAATTTCTGCTGCTAATTTCAGTTTAATGTCTGCTGTGAGGAGAAGAGGGGTGTATAAGTGCAATATCTGTTCCTAAATCACCTTAAGATTGTTGGACCAAGTTAGATATCTCTTGCATTTGAGTTCTGTAGCATTTGCTTGTCAGCAATGCTGTATCCACTAAACTTTATTTCTAGCATATACATCAGCAACATTGCAAAGACACATCCATTGCCTTTACTTTAACACTCAAGCACTCGTTAATCAGAAGCATTTCCCAGTGTCAATGCAAAATGTTCTCTTGTTTCAGTTTTTGTGTGTGATTGTTTACTGACAGTAGTATTTTTTTATGAACATAAGCATTGTGATTGAGTGCCCTCTCTTCCTCTGTTTTTTTTTTTTTTCATTCGGGTGTCATCCATAATGTATTTCTCCTATGTAGAAAATAGAGGGGTTTATTTGTTTCATGGGTGTGTTTTTAATCTTCGATCAATGGTTGGGTGATGAACATCTGTCAGCATTTCCTGGTTCTGAACGAGGATTATTAGTGTACCATATTTTTCTGTGTTCAAAAGTTGTTCTTCAGGTGGTGATCTCAACAAATTCTGTGACCACCAATTCATCCACAGGATTACAAGAAAGAATTTGAAAGATCGTAAAATTGATTTTCTTCGTCTTCTGATTTTTACTATCTTCTTATAAAACAGCTGAGTTTAGTTTCCTGCAGGTTGGGCACTCTATTGGTTCATATATATCTCTCGAAATGTTCAAAAGATCTCCAGAGAAGGTGACAACAACCCTGTACAGTTTTGTCTACTACTCATTTGTCATACTATTACTACCACCCATAGGTTTCTGACTACAAAGAACCTGTTACTTAACATTGTTTATGGAATTTTAGGTGACATTTTGTGTTGGACTCTATCCATTTTTGGCCTTAAACCGACAATCCATACAGCAGTCTTTCATCAGGAAGCTTGCAGCGTAAAATTCTTTCTTTGTTATGAATTCTTTTTATTTGGTCCCATGCATTAGCAGGATCTTCTGTGCTTCATGGACATGCAAATGCAATAGACAGTTATTATAATGAATGTTTTCCTGTTTTGCTGGTACCTTTCGGTTTTACTATTTTATTTCATGCCTACTTTCTGTGGTGTCTCTTAAGGTTTGTAGGTTTCACTTATGGCACAATTAAAGTTGAACATTGAATGAGAATACTGACAGTTGATGAATTGTAGGGAACTGTTATTGACTCCAAAAAGTACACTCCTCCAAGTTGAGTTTCTCGTTTATGTGTTTAGGTGGGCGGAATGCCGGATGACTTATTTATAGTGTCAATAACAGCTCTCGTTGTTTTTAACCATTTATTGGAATTATCACTTGGTCCTAATGTATATTGACTGGTTCTGTTAAAACTCATTCTAGTGATATTAGTTGTGACAGTCTAACATTAAGGTATTCATGGAGAATAATATCACAGAATATTATGTTTCAGGTCCCGCATTACAAGTGTTGTCTTGAGCTTAATTGTTGCGCTGTTGGGATTGTTTCCTATCCGATTGTTGAGGTTAATTGTGACCACATTCCTTGGGAAGCTCTGGTCAGCTACTGCAGTTGAGGCTACTTGCTCTCACTTGGTAAAGGTAAAGGTTTTTCTTGTAATATTTTCAAAAACGTTGAGCTTATACCAATGTTCTACTGATTTTACTATTTTGCCACCATAAAGCAGTATGTCTTTTTTTTCGTGAGTGTGTGCACACTCACATGCATGTGTTTTGAATCTTTTCCGTCAACATTTGATTCGTGTACTTGCAGTACCATACCATGCGGAATGTCCTCTTTATGGCAATGACAGAATTCAAAAAGGTAAAAGCTCTTGGTTTTCTGTAAATTTTAAGATATTGTAACTGATTCTGAAAGTTACTAATAGTGTTTTGAAAAACTGTAGTTACTGACTGTGAAGATGTATATTGGCTTTGTGCTACTGCATCTACTGAGTGCATCCTTGATCTGATTTGATGAATGAGTTCTTTCCTAATTGGTATTCATGTATGCATTCAAATCTGTTATCCTCATGTTAACAAGGAAGTTGTAACATTAATACATTCGATTGAAAAGTTTCCAGTTTCCACGATGGTGTTCGACTATTTATTCTAGACAATATTTTCCTTGTTAAGATATGATATTCTCTTTGCATATTTTGCATCTTCAGCTTCAACAAACACCAAATTTGCTGCATAGTTCATCTAGGAAAGTTAGAACTTTGATAAACACATCACTGTCAGCTTTCAGAAACACCGGATTGGGCATTCATGAGGGAAAAGCAGCACAAAATGGCATTTTTGTTCGGCGTTGATGATCACTGGGGTCCACTGCAAATGTTGGAAGAGGTAAAATTAAATAGTTCTTTTCAATGTTGATTTTGGAAGTCAAGTATCATTGAGATTTAAGAAATTAATAGGGATATCGTGTCCCTGCCTGTTTGTGCAAATGGATATGTTGCGAATGCATCTATAGGTAGAAAACAAATGTGAAGTCTCATGACCTTCCGGACCCCAGAGATTCCCAGATACCTTTAACGTGTGCTTCTTGCATGAAATTTGCAGCCACTCTCTTTTTCGTTTTCGATCTGGAAAAGAATATAACCAAGAGAGTAGCTTACAACTCCACCAAGAGTAGGAATCTAGGAAGATCTGGGGCCTGAAAGGTTTTAGCACATACGTTGTTCGCTCAAGCCTAGTGAATATATTTTGATTTATGTCATCGATATCTTTTGAAGAAGGGAGTTTTAACAAAACACTTTTTGTACTGTTTACTTTTAACGAAAAACTACATTTATACGTTTCTCTGATACTATTCACTATATCTTTAAAAAGAGCTTTTCATTAAAAGATAAGTTTTTTTTGAACTTTTTGTTAGTTTTCCTTTTGGAGAGCTGCTTAGTAATATAATCACCTATGCACTGCTAACAAGAGGAGTTTTTTGCTATGAGATAATAAATTGATTAGAGATAAGACTTTACGAGACTCCAAAGGTTTAGCATTTCTTATCCCGTTTATAAGTTTACACTGTGGGGTAATGTTTTAGCGATGATTCCTTATCATGGTTTTCATATGAGAAAAGTATATGATCACAGTTTTGTCCCCGACAAACATTGATTGAGAATGCTTAAATGGCCAATAAATTTGGGTTCTCTTAGAAAATTTTCTTTCCAAGTCGATATACGATATAGTACGAATGAGATAAAGTGGTTGCGGTTCTTGATGCTATTGAGTGTTAAATGTGTGTTGCAATTTTGTTTGGAAAAATGATTTCTAAACGCCCTTTTTCACCTTTTGCACACCCTCTTTTTTAAAGAAAAACTAATAAAAAATGTTTGAAAACTTTGAATTTTAATGATAAGAACAAATAAAGGGTAAAGTGAATAGTACCATGATTGACTTTTTTAGTGTAAAAATATGGTTTTTCGTTAAAGTAAACAATACCGAAAGTTTTTCCTTAAAATTCCTTTTTTTTTTTTGCCATTGAATTAAACAAATCAAAAGAGAATCAGATGTCCATATTTAAGAGGATATGTGTAGAAGGTGTAAAATGGCGAGCAGATTGCACTCCCCTTTGGTTTGGGCATTCTTTTACTTTTGCTGTTGGCACTGGGCTTATTACTACTTTGTATTTCTGTGGGTCCCAGATTTCCAAGCAGGTCCCAGATGCTGTTCTATCAATTGAAAGAGAGGGCCATACTCATGCTTTTTGTTGCACTGAAGCAGGCTCAATGTGGGTTGCTGAGCATGTAGCAGGCTTGATCAAGAACAATCAAGCGTCATAGATATACCTGCCCTCGCTACTAGCTAGCCCACCCATGTTTGTCTTTAGGATTTGCAAATATTACACTTTCAGTTGGATGGATAAGTCAATAAATAAAATAAATCAAAAGACTTGATTGTTGCTTGATTAGTTATACTATTAATAAAGGGATGTGATATCCACACACCTCTTTTTACTTCTCTTACACTTTTTTTGTTTTCGATCATCGGATCAGATGAATTGAAGAAAATCAACAGACATAAATTAATAAAGAGTGTGTGAGAAGTAAAAAATGATGTGTGGATAGCACACCCCTTAATAAATTTGATGAGCTGCTTGCTTATGAACAACGAAGGATTCTTCTGTGTAACCGGTTGTATATCTGCTCTCCTTATCTCTAATACACATATGAACTTAAGCTATATGATCGTGAACAACTGAGAGGTCTTTAGTTAAAATAACAAAACTATTATCCCATATTTATTGATTACATCTCCCTCGCATAAGATTTAAGAAGGATTTATCTGAGTGCTCTACATTATAGGCATTACTCACTCCGTGAATTAATTATTAGCCTTGCATCACTTGAAGGCAGATGGTACCACACCATGATGACAAGGAAGCAACACATCAAGTACACAACCCGTGTATTCTTTCTGGTAGTCAAATCGTGCGGTTGAGATCAGACTGTCATAGAAACAGATCACAGGACAGCCATTTTAGCATGCAGGTGACCCTTCAGGAGCTCACGTGCAGACTTTATAGAGAGAGATAGAGATAGCTCCTCTCCCAATCCACTTAGTCAAATCCTTTCATCCCAACAACTCTCAGTTGCTTCCTCAACTCAAAACCTCTCTCTCTCTCTCTCTCTCTCTCTCTCTAAAACACACACAATGCCTACAACAACCAGAAGAAAGCTCCGGCTGAGCAAAGTCACAGTCGACATAGGGTGCGGCATCTGCAGAAAACCCAGTAAGCTCTTCCAAATGTTCAACCCTAAACCTAAACCCTCCTCCAAAACCCTAAAAAACAACCACTTTCCGCCTCCTCCTTCTTCTTCTTCAACCCCACGCAACAATTACAACAAACTCTACAAAGACAACGACCACGCTCCTTTTTTAGTCACAGATTCCGACACGAAGAGCACGAGACCAGTCAACGGATTCGGTAGAATCGGCAACGAGAGCGTGGCCGTGGAGAAAGACTCCGGCGACCCTTACTTGGATTTTCGACACTCGATGCTACAGATGATACTGGAGAACGAGATATACTCCAAAGACGATCTCCGGGAGCTTCTCAACTGTTTCCTGCAGCTCAACTCTCCCTGCAACCACGGCATTATCATCAGGGTCTTCACTGAGATCTGGAATGCTGTTTTCTCTGTCAGGTCTGGAGGTTCGACGTTGCTGCACTTTGCGAGCAACAAGTCATGCGACTACTAGCTGAAGTTGTATCTTGTGCACGTGCAACGGAGTTGGGAGCCTGAGTTTCCATTTACATGTCGAGTTAAGAAGAAAGACAATGGGATTAAATCAAGTTATTTAAGGTCTTTTGTATGGTTGTGGGGTGCATGTAACGTAAAGAAATATTTTCCATGAATCAAATATTATATGAATTATGGTTACGATTTTTTATTTGTTTTTTTGTATTAATTATATTTTACCACTTTCCTAGAGTACAAAATAAAGTAAATCGTCGGATGATATAATGTGGGATCATGAGTTTTGTTACATAATGTAACATGGTAAAAGAATATTTCTATATATGCATTTTTCAGTTCTAAAAAGTTATATATTTTTACCTTTCACTTCTAAAATGTTACCGTACAAAATTTACAGTTACAATGTCTTCGTGAATTTTTTCAGTGCAACACACTTGTGATTTTACATCTTGTGTGGTTATCTTTGAATTGGAATTGGAAGCTTGTAAGTTTTAATTAGAGTTTTGTCCAACAAAAAAAAAGTTTGATTAGAGTGGACTTAGGATTATTCGAGAAGAGCTAAGCTGCAATAAAATAAAGGACGATACTTCATACTTATATTATGCGTACTTTATTTTTGTCGAAGCATACTGTTACTTGTGAGTAACGTAACTATCTCTATAAAATAATCAATTAATTTGAGTTCATTTAATCTTTCATATGTAATGAACAAACTGACAATTCTGATAATAAATATTATAGTTATAAGGGTAAATTACATTTTACTCGTTTAGGTTTGGAATTGATTTCAATTCTTTACATCTTTAAAACATTTCAATTTCATAAATTTACTTATCATTTTATTTCAATTTTATACATCCGTTAGAAAATCCGTTAAGTAAACCGTTAAATGATGACGTGATGATGATGTGGCTGCCAAATTTATGACACGTGACAAAAATAATATTTTTTATACATTTAAAATATTATAATAATTTATCCTATTAAAAAAAAAAAAAACCCATCTTCTTCCCCGAGCACACCCATCTCACTCCACCCCACCTGCAACCCCCCCCCCCCCACCAAACTATCCAGAAACCCATCTCCCACCCCACCCACAAACACCTGCACACTAGCGTATCGGGAAGCTTCTAGGGCTTCTTCAAGATCGAGCTGCGATGCGACTTCACGGCCAATGCAGTCGGCGACGACGAGGCCAGCATGGGTGACATTGCGTATAACGATTTCGTCCTCCCAGGACATGGCGTTCCGGTGCATGAGGGTGGATTTTGGGTGGGGTTGGGGGGGGGGTTGCAGGTGGGGTGGGGTGGGATGGGTGTGCTCGGGAAGAAGATGAGTTTCTTTTATTTATTTATTTAATATGATAAATTATTATAATATTTTAAATACATAAAAAATTATGTTTTTTTGTCACGTGGCACAAATTTGGCAGCCACGTCATCACTTAAAGATTTACTTGACGGATTTTCTAACGGATGTATGAAATTGAAATAAAACGATAAGTAAATATATGAAATTGAAATGTTTTAAAGATGTTATAAGAAATTAAAATTGATCCCAAACTTGAAGGGGAAAATATAACTTACCCTTATAATGAACTGTCAATTTATTTTATTATGTAAATGACTACGTGAACTTAAGTTATTAGAGTTTAAACAAGTGTTGCCAAATAATTGACATGATGTACTGGGTCGAGTTCAAATTTTCTGCAGCAAAAACCCTTTGTAGCCTCTTGTGCTCTATTTATTTGAACAACACGTATTTTTTTTTTTTTTTACTTAACTCATCTTTAGTTTTAAATTTTTATTAAGGAGATAAGTAGAAAAATTAACATTATTAAATAAGATTTAAATGAATGATTAAGTGTCAATAAATAAGATAGATCATAAAAAGGTCACAAATTTTGAGTGCAGAAGATTTTAAACTCATTAGGAGTTTAAGTTGGGTTGGTCAACTAGAATGAGGATTTCTCTTTGGGTCCTCTTTATAAGGATTCTGAAAATCTTCTAATCATATCCGTTCATCGTATATCGTACGATTAGAAATCATTGTAAATCTTTTTATTAAAAATTAAATATAAACAGTAATTGATAAAAATTGATCGTACAATATACGATAAACGAATTTGATTAGAGAATTCTCGAAATTCTCACAAAAAAGATTCGAAGATGATACCCATTTGGTCAACTAGGGCGAGTTTGAAGAAATTAGGGCATCACAGTGGGAGAAACACAGGCATTGGGATTTGGATTATAATTATTAGAGTGAGTTGGAAGTGGTGAAAGCCAGTTGTTCTATGCATTTTTATCATGTGTGAAGAGAGAATAGAAAATGTCTATCGCTGAGTCCTGACATATCTTATACATTTTCCAATGGGATACTCAATATAATTTTTGGCTCCTTGTACGCTACTAATCACGCACTTGCAACTTGGCCTTCGATCTCTCTCCGTCTCGTCTGCTCTGCCGTACGTTTCTCTACCGTCAATTATTACCTGTTTGCTCAAATCTTCGTGGCTCTCCTCTCCACCTCAGGAAATAAAAACATCCATAGCTTTTGAACCAATGTAACTTAGAGCTGGTTTAGGATTGCTATGCTTTGAAAAAAAACCCGTTATGAGAATAAGCGGCTGTGAAATAAATCAACAGAGTGTTTGGTAAACTTTTTTATAAAAGTGATTTTGGAAAAAAAAAAGCAGTCTGATAGTGAGTCTTTTCATTAAAGGAGCACTGTAGTTCCGTGTGCTTTGAAAAAAAACCAGTTTTCCAAAGCTGCAAATAGCAGCTTCAGCTTTTTCCTTTTATTTTAGCTTATTCTCACATCAGCTTCCAAAATAAGTCTTTTTTTTTTCAGTTTACCAAACACCTAAAACCCTCACAGCTTTTTTTCATGGGTGCTTTTTTTTTAAGCATTTCACTCCCAAACCACCCCTTAGACCATTTCTAAAAAAGATGTAAAAAATGTCACATAAACATATAACTGTAACAAATAACGTACAATTTACTTCAACTGAGATGTCGAAGATAACATGGCAAAAAAAGCCTAAGCTAACATGGGCAAATTGATGTCAAATTTAAAGCTGCCTTCAAATTTGATTTTTACTATTTCCAAAGGCATTCCACTTGTCTTGTCTTAAATGCTAGTATATTTAAGTATTATTTTATTATTTTTAAACCAACAATAACCCACTTTTATTATTTTTGTTTAAAAAATATATAAATAAAGCAATAAATTTTGGCATACCGGGTGAAAAGAAAATATTGACAATATGTCAAATTACCAAGTTAGCCATCAAATTTAAATTTGATGATTTGAATTTGACGTCTCTTTTGAAGATGCTCTTACATGTCAAAATTTGAGAGACGATTTCACAAGCCATTACTAATCAGCATCAAGTAAATATGAATATTTTAATTATCTACTACTAATTAATATTGATATTGTTAAGAATTTAAGTTGCGTCAAAGTTTAAATACAATCTAGTAACACACTACTAATTAACATTAATATTGTCTTAAAATTAAGGGTAAATTACATAATAGCCCCTCAGGTTTGAGGTCCATTACAACCTCATACAACAACTTTAAAACATTTCACTTTCATACATCCAGTACCATTTTATTTCAAAATAACACCTCTATTAGATTTCATCTATTAGTCTGATGTGGCTGCCACGTGGAATTTTTTTTATACATTAAAAATATTATAATATTAACCCAATTAAAAAAAACATAAAAACCCTAACCCAGATCCCCTTTCTTCCCCCTCTTCTCTCTGTAATCCCTTCCCACTACTAGCGACCTCCCCCCAAGCGACCCACATCCCTATCCCTAACCTGGAACCCAAAAACCTGCAACAAGAAGAAGAAGAGGAGGGCGGAAAAAAAAAACCCCAATTCGTCCCCCCTAGAACCTGCAAGAAGAAGAAGAAGAAGAAGACGAAGAGGGAGAAAAAAAAAAGCCCAGTTCTCAGGAAGAGGTTGCCGGGGGGGGGGGGGGGAGGAAGGGAAGTGGGTCGCGGGTCGCGGCGGAGCGGAGCGGGGGGAAGGGAGGTGGGTCGTGGGTCGCGGCAGAGCCGGGGGGGGGGTTTCTTTTTTTTTTTCTTTTCTTCTTCCTCCCTTTTCTTCTTCTTCTTTTGTTGTTGCAGGTATGTGGGTCGCTGAGGGGGGTGAAGTCGTTGGGGGGGGTGGTGGGTGAGGGATAGTGGGAAGGGATTGCAGAGATGAGAGGGGGAAGAAAGGGGATCTGGGTTCGGAGGGTGTGTAGAGAAGGAAAGAGTGTGGGTATAGAGGGAGGGGGGTCGCGGGTTAGGGGTGCACAAGGAGGTCGGGTGGGGGTGGGGGGGGGGCGGGGTGTTCTGGGTTTTTTGGTTTTGGGGTGGGGGGCGCGGGTGGGGTGGGGTGGGGGGTTATCATTTCTGGGTTGCAGGGAAGAAGATGAAGATGGGGGATATGGGTTTGGGGGTTGCGGGGAGAATAGAGGATTTTGGGAGTTGCAGAAGGGTGGGGGGGGGGGGAGGGGGAAGGGATCTGGGTTTCGGGATTTTCTAGTTTTTTATTTTTTTTAATTGGGTTAATATTATAATATTTTTAATGTATAAAAAATATTTTTTTTCCACATGGTAGCCACATCAGCACAAATGTGGTAGCCACGTTAGCATTTAACAGACTAATGGATGGAAAATCTAACGGAGGTGTTATTTTGAAATAAAATGGTACTGGATGTATGAAAGTGAAATGTTTTAAAGTTGTTGTAATTTACCCTAAAACCTTAGGGGCTACTATGTAATTTACATATTAATTTTATCTAGTAAGTGTGTACACTGAAAACTTCAATGTACAGTAGAATCATTATTATAGAAGAAATTTAACTTCATGAAATTTTATGTCTGACATATGCTTTAACACTTCAGTTTAATCGACCATATAAAGTAAGGGAGATTATATTCACACACTCCAAATTACTTTCCCCACATTTTTTTAATTTTTTTATATTTTTCTATCAAGTGTTAGTGGTGTGTAAAAAATATTAAAAAAATAAAAAATATAGAATAAGTAATTTGAAATGTATGAATATAATCTCTCTAAAGTAAAATATAAAAATTCATGGAAACAGTGGATATTTCAACACCATGGGTTCCTTGAATGCTTGCAAAACTTATTTTAAATGTCATCATGTGCTTCTTACCGAGTAT